ATTATAAGTGTTGCTGATGTTGTTGTTGTTGATGTTGTTGTCGTCGTTGTTGTTGATGTAGTTGTTGCTGATTCTGTTGTTGTTGCTGATTTTGTTGATGTTGATGTTGTTGTTGATGTTGTCTATATTGTTGATATTGTTGTCGTTGTTGTTGTTATTGATGTTGTTGTTGTTGTTGTTGATGTTGTTGTCTATATTGTTGATGTTATCGCTGATGTTGTCTATATTGTTGATGTTGTTGTTGTTGATGATGTTGTTGTTGTTTTTGATGAGATGATTGTTGTTGTTGGCCAAACTATTTGGAGTTGCATTGAATGGGTGGCTCAGATTGATGTGGCCCAATGTCGAGGAGACAATAATAATAGTAGCCATCATCATCGTCGTCGTCGTCATCATCGTAATTTCTGTTTAAATCTTTGTTGTTGTTGTTTTTGTTGTTGTTGTTGGAGTTGTTTTTGTTTTTGTTGTTGATGTTTTTGACATTGTTGAAGATGTTGTTGATGTCGTTGTTGAAGTTGAGTTTGTTGTTGTTGCTGTTGTTGATGTTGTTGTTGTTGATATTTGTTGTTGTTCAATTCATCACCTCAGCTGAAAATTAAACTGCATGCGTTCACTATGCTTCATCCTTACAACAATAGACATCTTACTCCTTACTCCGATGGTGTAAAGGCTAAGGGGCCTGGCATTGTTGTGCAGTGTCCGGGTTCGAATGCCAAAAGAACCCCGCCTATCACGTGCAAAACTGCGTGATGGGTTGTTTCACGTGTATTTATGCACCGTGTTTTTGTAGTAATAATTATAATGCGACTCAGTCGCTTGCCATGGTGCTATACAAAATGACATTTATTATTATTATTATTATTATCATTATTATTACTAAGTTAAATTTTTGGCTATCATCACATTTGACGTCATCGTCATCATCATCATCAGCACCATCATCGCCACCATCATTATCATAACCATCAACGTCATCATCATCATCATCTTTTTCGTTTGGCGGGTAATTTGATTACTATTGTCGATATTAATAAAGTTGGTAAAATTGGAATATTTATATGCAATGCGATGTGTTATTATTATTATTATTATTATTATTATTATTATTATTATTATTATTATTATTATTATATCATTGTTAACATAATCACTATCATCACCACCATCATTATCATCACCATCATCATTCATCTTCTTCCTAATCATCATCATCACCGTCATCATCATCATCACCACCATCACCACCACCACCATCATCATCATCAGCAGCAGCACCAACAACACTGAAAACATCTTCATCATCTTAACTGCGTCTTACACAATTCCAACTTAATTACTTTAACGTCCCTTCTTTCATTCACCAGCCCTTCACTTCTTCCCATCTTTCTATTTTCAATATTTTAATATACGTATATATTATATATATACATATATATATATATACATATATATATATATACATATATATATATACATATATATATATATATGTGTGTATATGTGTGTGTGGTTGTTTGCACGTGTGTGTGTTTGTGTGTGTGTGTTTGTGTCTGTGTGTATTTGTGTGTATGCTCGCGTGTGTGTGTGTGTGCGTGTGTGTGCGTGCGTGCATTCAACACATGCAACTTGAGAGCTTGGATGAAATTAAGCCAAAGGGAAAGTGAAATGAAATCTTGGCAACAAAAAATGTTGTGGAATAAATAAAATAATATAATAATAATAATATAATATAATAATAATAATGATAATAACATAAACAATAATAATATAAATAATAATAACAATAATAATAACACCAATAAAAACATTCGCCCCAGCAGCTGAAAGCTGAAACATTGATCGTT